AAGTAAACGTAACCGAATTGTGGTCACTATCACCAAAGTGCTCACCTACCTCCAAATCTAACACCTGGCCTGGTTCATTACCCAGTACCAAATCCAATGTGGCCTCGCCTCTTGTTGGCCTATCTACATACTGTGTCAGGAAATCCTCCTGCACACATTGGACAAAAACTGACCCATCTGAAGTACTCGAACTATAGCGTTTCCAGTCAATATTTGGAAAGTTAAATTCCCCCATAACAACTACCCTGTTACTTTCGCTCCTATCCAGAATCATCTTTGCAATCTTTTCCTCTACATCTCTGGAACTTTTCGGAGGCCTATAGAAAACTCCCAACAGGGTGACCTCTCCTTTCCTGGTTCTAACCTCAGCCCATACTACCTCAGTAGACGAGTTGTCATCAAACGTCCTTTCTGCCATCGTAATACTGTCCTTGACTAACAATGCCACACCTCCCCCTCTTTTACCACCTTCCCTGATCTTACTGAAACATCTAAACCCCGGAACCTGCAACAACCATTCCTGTCCCTGCTCTATCCATGTCTCCGAAATGGCCACAACATCGAAGTCCCAGGTACCAACCCATGCTGCAAGATCACCCACCTTATTCCGGATGCTCCTGGCATTGAAGTAGACACACTTCAAACCACCTTCCTGCCTGCCGGTACACTCCTGTGACCTTGAAACCTTATTTATGACCTCACTACTCTCAACCTCATGTATACTGGAGCTACAATTCAGGTTCCCATCCCCCTGTTGAATTAGTTTAAATCCTCCCAAAGAGCATTGGGAGCAGAGAAATAAACTTTGATGTTTTAAAAACAGTTCACATTACAGAAGGAGGAGGTTCAGGATCTTTAGAGAATATAAAGGTGGATAAATCTCCAGGACCTACTCTAATGTATCTCAGAACATTGTGGGAAGTAAAGGAGGAAATTACGAGAACCCTTGCAGAAATATTTGTATCACCTATAACTACAGGTGAGGTGCCTGATGACTGAAGGGTGGCTAATGTTGTACCTTTGTTTAAGAAAAGTTGTAAGGATCCTTGATAGTGTAAATGAAGAGAATTGTTTTCAGTGGCTAAGAGTCCAGCTTCATAAGACAAATTTAAGATACAGGTAGTTCTCCTATAATGCGATAGTTGTGTTCTTGCATGACCTCGCGCTATAGAAAATTGCCATAGAAAGTTGCGTTATAGGGAAATCAGTATAGAAAATTACTGTACCAGTACAGCAGCAAGTTTGCGTTATCCAAACAGTGTCCACTATTCATCAATTGCATTACAACCAATTCGCGTTATCAAAACATGTGTTATAGCAGAAATTAGAAGAAATCTAAGAGATGGTAGGAAGAAAAGAAATTGACATGAGTATTTCAAAAAAGTATACATGAACAGAGGGAGCAAAGATTTGTTTTGATTTATTGTTGTCTCATGTACCTAAGTACAGTGAAAAGTTTTGTTTTGTGAGCAGTATAGGCAGATCATAACAAACAAGGACATACCGATCATAGGGTGCTGAGACAGAGTGAGACATATAAAGTTACAGCTGCACAGGAGGTGCACAAAGTAAGATCAACATTAGATTTGAAATTAGAGAGGTCCATTCATCAGCCTAATAACAACAGGGAAGAAGCTGTTCTTGAACCTGTTGGTGCACGTGTTCAAGCTTCTGTATCATCTGCTTGATGGAAGAAATTGGAAGAGAGTATAACCGGGGAGGGAGGGGTCTTTGATGATGCTGGCAATGAAAAGTGTAAATTGAGTCTATGGATGGAAGGTTGGCTTCTGTAATGGTCTGGGCTGTGCACACAGCTTTCTGTAGTTTCTTACTGTCCTGGGCACAGCAGTTGTCATACCAATCTGTGATGCACCCAGATAGTATGATTCTATGGTGCATCTGTAAAAGTTGGTGAGGGTACTTATGGACATGCCACATTTCCCAAGATGCTTGTGGAAGAAGAGGCGCTGTTGTGCCTTCTTGACCATCGCATCGACATGAGAAGACCAGGACAGATTTGTTATTGTCACTCTTAGGAACTTTATACTGTTGACCCTCTCCACCTCAGCTCTGTCAATGTAGATAAGGATGTGTCCTCTTCCTTTCTTCCAGATGTCAATGATCAGTTCTTTTGTTTTGCTGATATTGAGAGAGGGATTGTTATCATTGCACCACGACACCAAGCCATGCTATCTCCTTCCTGTATTCTGACTTATTATTCTTTGAAATCCGGCCTACAACAGTGATGTCGTCCATAAACTTGTAGATGGCGTTTGTGTGGAATTTGGCTACATAGTCGTGGGTGTACAGGGAGTACGGTAGGGGGCTGAGTATGCATCCTTGCATGGTGCCATTGTTGAGGATTATCATGGAGGAGGTGCTGTTGTCTATCTTCAATGCTTGCAGTCTGTGGGCCAGAAAGCTGAGGATCCAGTTGCAGAAGGTGGAGCTGAGACCTCGGTCTCGGAGTTTTGAGACCAGTCTGATGGAGATTATGATGTTGAAGGTAGAGCTGTAGTTGATGAGTAGGGGCCTGACATAGGTGTCGTTGTTATCCATATGTTCTAGGGATGAGTGTAGAACTAGGGAAATGGCATCCACTGTGTAAGTCCACAGATTCCTGAAGGTAGGGGTACTGATAGATACACTGTAGGTCAAGAAAATATTTGGATAATTTGCTTTATTGGCTGAGACCTGGAGTTATCTGAGTGGGAAGGCTATGCTACAGCTGCATAAAACACAAATTAGAGTTCTGAGTACAGTTTTAGTTCCTGCAAAGGATGTGGTCACATTCGAGGTTACAAAAGAGATTTACAAAGATGTTGTCAGGAATGGAAAATTTTAATTCCAAGGAACGATTGGTTAGGCAGGATTTTGTTTTCTTTGGTACAGAGAATACTGATAAGACACTTGATTGAGGTGCATAAAATTATAAGGATCTAGCTAGGGTTGATTGGAAAGAATTATTCCCATTAGCAGAGTGGTCAATTATTGGGGCATATGTTCACAGTAACTGGTAAAGAGATGAGAGGGGAGCTGATGAATGTTTTTCAAGCAAAGTGTGTTGAGTGCATGGAACTCATTGTCTGAAATAGCAGTGAAAACAGAACCCCTCACTGTATTTTTAAAAAATGGATGTGCACTTAAGTCTGTAATCACCAAGGCAATAACTGGAAGGTGGGATAATCTGGATAACTCTTAGCAGGAGAGATGCAAGGGACTAAATACCCTCCCTTGTGTTTTTCAAATTTTTTCCTCTATTTCTGAGATTATTTTGTTTAGGCAAATGTTGGCAAGTGTGTATTTTCAACAGTAATATTAATTCTACATTCTGAGACCAACAAGCAGAGAATTGGGTATTTAGATTGTGCACTAACCGTTCACGTCCATATCCAGAACTTTCCATTTTAATCGCTGCCGGTCTCTGTTGCCGCAGGAGGAAACATTCTGAGAAACAAGTAACGCTAATGATTGGGTGCTGAAACTCATTAAGTGCGTTGACACTTCAATGAGGTTAGGTATTACTAAAGATGTCAGTAGCTCCATTAAGTGTTTATCAAGTAGTTTTTCGTTTCAGTAGCCGATAGTTATTAGTAAATGTATTTCCAGTATTTGTTTTCATTTTGAATGTTAAGCATTTGCAGTTTACTTTTGGTAGAGTTAGTACAGAACACAAAGTTAATGTTCTCAAGAATATAACATGCAGCTTTGATCATCATTTTAATGTTGAA